TGCAGGTTTAGGTGATTTAGAACTGTTTTGTTTTTTCGTGGCATTGGATTAGTTTTAGCCAATGGAAAGATATTTGCTGGGAGGAGTAGATTGTGTATTTTTTGGGGCCAAAATGATTGTGCCCTCCCCCTTTAAATGATGCAGTGCACTGTTAAAATAATGGGTTTGTTCTTATTGAGCAGACAGGAAACATGTTGTGAAGTAGGGGATGCTCACTGGGATTTGTATAATGAAGACTACAAGTCCCAACTGCCTCTAGCAGATGGGATTCGCAATGGAATACGTGTGGGCGAAGACGTCGCCACACTTGCAGTCCATCTATTAGTCCGCTGACCTGGGGCTTTGGAGGAATAGTCTGCTCACGCCTAAGGCCCCATTCACATTGAGTGATTTATCGAGCAATTTTTGCAGCGATATCGCTCATATTTCCAGGCGATATCGCTCTATGTAGCTTCTCCAATCCATTTCAATCGAGCTGTTCACATCTTGTCGCTCAATATCGCTTGTAGCTCGTCGCTGGTTGCTTGTCGCTCCTACATGACCCTTTTTCTGAGCGATATTGCTCTTGATTGCTTACAGCCAAATAGGAAAAGTCGCGTGGCACGTCCCACGATATCGCGGCAAATTACCGCGCGATATCGCGCTCCAATGCAATCCAATGGGGTAAAGGGTCGTGTCGCTACAGCAGGACCCTTTTTGGAGCGGATTTAGCCACGATTCAAGCTTGCTCAATGCAAGCTTGAACGCGACATCGCGCAATATGCAAATCGCGTGACAAACGTGCGATTTGCATATCGCGCAGTGAGAACGGGGCCTTGGGGTCAAATCACGCGTTGCAATCAACTGTAGATCTACCAAATCGATGTAATGTGAGGACCTACTCCATCTTTCCAATCGCACTATACAATCAGGCATATCATTGTACCACACACTTGTTGGCAGATCTAAGGGCTTGTTCACACCAAATGCGGACCAGATCTGCATGAGTTTCTGCACGTGCAGTGTGTTTTGACTTGTTCCACATTTTTTTTTCAGTGCGTTTGCATGCGTTTTGGTTCGTTCTAGAGCAGAACGAATAGGGCATGCTGCAGTTGTTCCACATGCTCTGGAACTGAACACTGGTGTTAACTAGAGCCCAAAATACCATTGTAATACATTGGATGCAGTTTCATGCGTTCTGTAACTGCTCTGCACTTGGTGTGAGCAAGCCTTAAAGAAGACTGTTACAGGTGTGCGTGTGGTAAGCTTAAGGCACCGTTTGCACTAGGGTACGATTTGGTGCTGTTATGTGTTTAACCTGGTTTTTTACGTGTGTGTGTATATATTCACGCCTTGCATTTAGATGCAGATCAGTTTGGCTGCGCTTAGAAAAAATAGAAGTTGTGTCCAGGAAACAATTTTAGCTTCTAAACGTGTGTAAACGCAAGGCGCGTTTATTTGCTGGCTACTTCAATAGGCAAAGGACCAAAGCATCTAAATGCATATGCGTCCATGTTAAGCATCTACAGGCATTAACAATACATCTAGCCTGACAGATCTCAGGATAACACAAGTGGTCAGTGTCAATGAGGCCTAAGAATTGCACTCGCAGACCACTGATCGCAGTTGCAATGTTTTGCAGGCTCAACTATAATACACATTTTATGTCATCAGAGTGCTAAAGGGGGGCCTGTGCACAGCGCATGTAGTCAGCCATTGCTTATTAATTTAATTACATTTATTAAATGGAGTATGCCAGTTGTAATCCAGTTTAATAATTATGTTGAAGGATGCCGCGTCCCGCTATGAGGCGCGAGAAGTAAAACGTAACTGAATTTTATAACTGCCGGCTGTGATTAAGATCAGTTTATATACAGTTCAAATCTCCCCCACCCGACCAAATCAGATTTATTTTGCCATTGAAGATCCTTGTTTTCCTGTCCTGTAAACATGTCAGGAAGTGAGAGGAAATGCAGAGTTGAGGGCAATAAAATTTGCTCACACAGCTGTCGGTGTGCGTGTGCCAGGACAATGCTTGTGAGCCACAGTGCACTTTTCTTCTCTTTTTTTTTTTTAGAACTTCATTGAAATGTCACAAGTGACCTTTCATTTGGTTCTGAGGGATCACCGCAGTGCAATGAGTTTCCTTTATGTTCAAAAAAATGCTTTTTACCACATAGTATGCACGTAGCCTTATAGTTTAATGATGTGGCGTTGTATTATCTACTGTGATTGTTTCTAAACAAATTTTTTTTTTTTAATTTCCTTTTTTTTTCAGATTGCTGCTAAAATAGGAGGAGATACAGCACCACCTATGAATTCGAATGACTATAACTTTTCAGGACAGAAGAGACCACTGGATGATGGAGGTTTGTTTTTTTGCCCACTCAGACAGATAGAGATATAGATCATTTATTATATATAATATATATTTTTTTCATGCAGTTTAAAATAATTAATATATTATATGGTAGCTAGAAAAGGAAGTTCCTTGTTTTATGTTCCCCTTTTTTAGCCTATAAATATTCTAAACAAGTTTGAGCAGGCTAGAGATAAACGGTGCAATGTTCACTTTAGTTTTGAACCTGTAAAGTTTTATTTGAGCTTTGTGCCTCATTCACACTAGCTGAGCGTAGTTTTGATATTGTATGCTTTAATTTAAATCAGTGTAATGTTATTATGCCGGTAACTATGTGCACAGCACAATAACATTGACCACCTGAATGAGGAAGGAAAGGCAAACAAGCCTCAGTGAGATACTTTTTATTGGCTAACTTAACATTAAAGTGGACATAAGCCACCAGACCAAATACATTTTGGGAGCGCAGAGACTTGTGCCATGATGTTGCTATTCTGAACAGCGTATTGGCACCTTATGACACACTTACCTAGTAAAGTGATCCCCTGCCAACACAGATATGGTCAGTACTTTCATTGTCTTCCTTCTGATTAAAGACACACATCAATAGTTAAGAAATGTACTCCCTCAGAACCTTGAGCCCATAGTTCATAAAATAAGCCATTGCCATCACCAGTTCTATATACTGAATCTCTATTTGGGTGACACTGCAAATGTCAGTTTATGTACAGTTTTAGTGATTTATTTTCAGGACCAAGTTTTTATGTACTTGCATCAAAGTTATAGTAATGCAGGACTGATTGTGGTCTCCCACTTTACACAGCTTCTTTTAAACAGTGAAGCCTCTTTTGGTGTGGTGGAATTGATTCTAACTTGTGAAATAAATCATTCTTTAAAAACGAAATGAAAGGAGTGGTGTAGCTAGTAGCAGGTTTAGACATATGGAGGAGGCAGTGTCATAATGGTAATGGGGTTAGTTGCTGGTTGGTAATATTTTTTTTATTTTATTTTAGATCAGCCAGAGGCAAAGAAAGTAGCGCCAACAAATGACTGTAAGTGCTATATAATCCTGCTTGTATATTGTTCAAATCATTTAAGTACATACTGACAAGTATACATAATTACATCTTCATTGGTTTGTTTTTCCTTCCTTAAAGCGTTTCAACCTGCAATGCCTCCCATGCATCAACAGAGGTAAGTGTTGTGTGACCACTAGCTTTGTATATAGTTTACCACGTGTGTTTCTGTGAATTCTACCATGCTTTACCAAACCTTACCTTTTTTAGAGAAGTTTAGTTCACCGTGCAAGTTGGCAATTTAAACACAAACATGTCTTGTAAAGGCTATTGATTGCTTTTAACTGCATCGTAATTTCTTTACGATTTACTGATAATTGCATATAAAGTATTTGAGCATTGTTAGCGCTTGCATTAAGCGCGCTTTACTGGCCCCTAAACGTTTGTAGCGTCTCCTGAACATTTATTACAATGAGTGTGTTCTGGTAGGACAAATTATACACCCTGGAAACTATTTCTTCTGCTCAGTAAATAGCTGTACTACAGAGAAGAATGGTCATAACTTATCTGGGGCATACATGTTTGTATCTGAAAAGCATTGATTCTGTAGTGCAGACTTCTAATTTCATAGCCGGGAACGGTAAATTAGCATCATATTTGTTTCTTGAATCGGTGCAGTTCACCTCACCGTTCCTTATTTTTGGGATACATTAGATCTTGGGTTAAAAAAAGAGGCAAAATTGGGTGGAGAGGATGGAGACTCATGGGAAAGTGCTTGAGATGGAGGAGAGGAGCAAATCGGGGGGGCTGCTTAAGGGAAAAGGGATCTGATGAAGGGGGTAAAAAAAAACTTGTGCATTTCAAATGTAAAATATTCTCTTTATACAGGTCTGTTCTTACTGAAGAGTACAAAGTTCCAGATGGGATGGTTGGATTCAGTATGTATTGCCTAATGTTAATTCTGAGATTCGCAGCTTTTCCCTTGTTTTGCCTGCTTTTAAGAAAAAAAAAATATATTTTTTTTTTTCTTTCTAGTCATTGGTAGAGGTGGTGAACAGATATCACGCATTCAACAGGAATCTGGCTGCAAGATTCAGATTGCTCCAGGTAAGTCCTGGATGGTTGATATGTAATTTTAAACGTAACACATTTAGTTTCCTAAAACAGCACTTTTGTTAAGATCAGTGCCTTCCAAACCTGGACCATTACCTCTGTGTTTATATAGCCAAAGCTTTTTAATCTAATTTTGGATGAAGTAGGGAATGTTCACAAATTTTAAAGTTACATTTGAGAGATTTCATTTCCTGTCTTGTTGATGCAACAGACAGGAAAGCTCTCCAAGGTAGGATAAATCCACTCTTAGAAAGTTGTCACCACCTCTTCTAATGAAACCATCAAATTCTGGCTTTTCTCTCCGTTTCAGTCCTGGTGGCACTATCATAGAGGGGTATGGTGGCAGTACAGACAGTAAGATAACAGATCTTCTGGGAAAAAGGGGCATGTTCTGTCAGGATTAGTGTTTACTGCTTTCATCACTGAAATTATTGTTGGGCTTGGCTGTGGCTTAAATTAAAAAGTTACTTTAATCAGTAAGATTATTGAAAGTGTCCTGGCATTTTACCAATGAGAGCTACTGTAACACGCAGTTTTATTGATGCTTTAAAATACTGAGGATCATGGACTCTGGAGCTCCATTCTGGATGCAGAATTTGAAAAGGCAATTTGTAGCATTTAAAAATTTACGTGGATGGTTATGAAACTTTGTACCTGTGTGCCAATAACAGCTACCCAGGCTTTTTTGCTGTGAAACTGAATTGGTTCAGCTTCTCACTGCACCATCCTTCGTGGGTAGTCTTAAGAGAATAAGAATCTGCCTGAGCTTGCTTGGTTGTGTTCATTTGCGATCTATGCTCTTTCAGTGATACCATATTGTACTTTTTTGAAAACTTTTCTTTTATGACTTGCATTTAACATTTAAATTCTAATTTTGCTATTTCAGATAGTGGTGGACTACCTGACCGTTCCTGCATGTTAACTGGAACCCCTGATTCTGTCCAGTAAGTAAAGCACTACTTCACTTGCTGTAAATTTGTGTTTTTTAAACCTTTACTAACGCAACATATTTTTGCAGGGGTGCAAAGAGGTTGCTTGATCAAATTGTTGAAAAGGGAAGGCCAACTCCTGGATACCATGGAGATGGCCCTGGAAACTCTGTTCAGGAAATCATGATTCCGGCTGGTAAAGCTGGATTGGTCATTGGAAAAGGAGGGGAAACCATTAAACAACTTCAGGTATGAGTGAATAACTTTTAGGTCTGCCTCTGAACAAAGTACGCTTATGCAGGGACTCATCTTCGCTATTTTCTCTCAGGAACGTACAGGTGTCAAGATGGTCATGATTCAAGATGGACCCCAAAACACAGGAGCAGACAAGCCGTTAAGAATTACGGGCGATCCATACAAAGTGCAGGTATGGTACTAAGCTACTAGGCGTGTAACTAGCAACCTCTAAGGTGAGCTTATTAACCATGCTACTTTATTTTTTTTACAGCAAGCTAAGGATATGGTATTAGAATTAATACGTGATCAAGGAGGTTTCAGAGAGTCAAGGAATGATTATGGATCAAGAATAGGCGGGAATGAAGGGATTGATGTAAGTATAGATGTGGCATTCTGTTTTAATATAAGGCTTGTTTGGATACCTGTAATCGAGTGAATTTTACAGTAGCTTCTGGTTTTGTGCATCTACTTGGAAAGGAGGTCAAAAATACTAGTTTATGCAAAAATGTTTAGCTTCACACTAACCAACCAACAAAAAACTGATTCATACCTTCTGCTTTAAAAAAAGAAAATCAAGGAAAATGTATTATGCAGATCACGTCTGTTTTCTAACTTTGAGCTTCATCACTGGCTGATCTTGCACTGCAGTGTTCTGAGGAAAGGGACGATCAGCATTTTGTGTGTGGCCCTGGGGTCGGGCTCGGTGAGCAAAATTTTGTCAATCTGATGGTAACTCCCGGCTGTCACCTTGTTATAGTAGTCGCGAACCTTGGCACTCCAGCTGTGCCAAAACTACAAATCCCAACATGCATCTGCCTCTGGGAGTTATGTCTGTGGGCTGTCAGAGCCTTGCAATGCCTCATGGGACTTGTAGTTCCAAAACAGCTGGAGTGCCAAGGTTTGCCACCATTGTACTAGTCTATACAGGGCTTTCTACTGGCAGGCTTGTGATTTACTTAATTTGTGAAACCTTTTCAGTATGTCCACAAAATATGGTGCCTGGGAAGCCTTTGGTGGTGGCATAATTGGTCCCTTTTTTCCCTCCTAAGGTACCCATACCACGGTTCGCTGTTGGAATTGTAATTGGAAGGAATGGTGAAATGATCAAGAAAATCCAAAGTGACGCAGGCGTTAGGATTCAGTTTAAACCCGGTTAGTATTTTCCTTTTCATAGCTGCTTGCTTTAGAGAATATTATGGGTTTCCTGACCAAATCTTTCTCTGGCAGATGATGGCTCAACTCCAGAAAGAATAGCACAGATCACAGGTCCTCCAGACAGATGTCAACATGCTGCAGAGATTGTAACAGACTTGCTGCGCAGTGTCCAGGTTTGTGTTTGTAGTTTTTTTTTTTTCCAGAAAAGCAAGTGTGCATGTTATAGGATGGGGATATCAAAGTCCCGGTACAAAGAACTTTCGTCAATGACACTGCTGTTATAGTTAGTGGTATGGGGTATAATATATAAAGCACAGTGTTCAGAGTGGAGTGTGTAATCTAGAGCGAGCCCTATAATTCACCTCTATACACCCAGCACATATACCTACCTCCTATGTGGATGGGCAGGCCGACACTTGTCTGGCTGATGGCTTTGATTTTCTTTACACTTTATTCAAACTCTACCTACTTCAGGATCCCTGCCTCCTAATGCTGATCCTGTACTTTTTCTACTCTCCATCATATGTGTGGTCTACCTCTTCTTCTTTTTTTTTTTTTTGTCTTTTTAGTACAGCTATTTGATAAGCAGTATTCTGCATAATATGGGTGTAATTTCTAAACAAGTGGCCTTTTACCAGACTTGATCTATAAATTCTCAAATGCGATACCGGGAACTATAGTGTGCCCATTCTTAAACCTTTTAGTATGTAAGAAGCAGTTTATGTGAATGCACTTTTTCCCTTTAAGCCTTTCGTTTTTTGTACACTAAGCAACATTCAGGAAACTTGCTTTATGCAGTATGTTCGCACATTTTGTATTATGGCAAGATTTTAAAATTACACTAAACTCAAGTGATTTTATAAATGCATTCAAGTCCCATAACCATGAAAAAACGATGTATCTTATTTGTCTCGGCTGTAGATCTTCAAATCATCTCTAAATTGGTGCTGACACTGTCCTTTCTGGAGGGTGGCTACTTTTATTCCCCATGGTCCCTGTGTGTTGTAAAGTAGTCACCGCTCCAAGCTTGTTCCCGTGGTACACTAAAGTCTTGTCTTTAGTTTACCAGTTTGTATTGAGATTGTAGGGACCATGTGTAACAAAAGTAGCCACCCTCAGAAGGAAGGACAGTGTCTGCACCAATTCAGAGATGGTTTAAAGATCTGCAGCCGAGTGACACACAAGATACATTTTTGTTAATGGTGAGGGTACTTTCATTTTTAAGGTTTAACTTCTAAATTTAGTGTCGCGTTTAAGTAGAGATTTCAATAGTTTCTTTTTTTTTTTTTCCTGTGGTACAAATGGACAACGTTTTCATGGAACACCAGCTGTCTTTTTATACTTGAAATGGAAGAAAGTTCATGAAAGTTTAATTGAAATATGCTTTGACATGTATCTTATAAAAGTGCTAGCTTGGACAAATGTAAACTTTTTTTTTTTTTTTTTTCTAGAATAACGTATTCTATCTAATTTTTATTTTTTCACATGTAGGCTGGGAATGCTGGTGGTCCTGGCCCAGGTGGCAGAGGAAGGGGCAGAGGACAAGGAAATTGGAATATGGGCCCACCAGGTGGTCTACAGGAGTTTAACTTTGCTGTTCCCACAGTAAAAACTGGGCTCATCATTGGAAAAGGTATTGCCTTATTCTGACTACTAAAGTGCATGATTTCGGGTTTAGAATGCTAAGGTATTGTCTTGTCATCTCAGAAGTTCTTGTAATAAGTTTGACAAGCAAAGCCTTTTTGTGACAGTCTGTGTAGATGTAATTTTAGTGGCTCTCTGAAATTTTAATCTGCATTCTTTCAGGTGGGGAAACTATTAAGAACATAAGCCAACAATCCGGAGCCAGAATAGAGCTTCAGAGGAATCCTCCACCAAACTCTGATCCAAACATGAAGCTGTTTACTGTGCGTGGCTCTCCACAACAGATAGACTATGCAAGGCAACTTATTGAAGAAAAAATAGGGGTATGTACAATGTTGACAATTGTGTAATTACCTAATTTGCTGCTGAGATCTGCTCATGTTTTTAGATTGTTGTCCTGCCAACTTGAATAACGACTTATTCTATTTGTTTTATTAGTAATGTTTTTGCTGTTTTTTTAAAAACTAGTTGAAAGTAAAAATGTTGCATTGTACTAAAATTGGTATGTATAGGATAGCTAATATGAGGGTTCTTCAGACCAGTCAATGTTTTAATTGCATTTCTTCTCTACAGGGCCCAGTTAATCCGTTAGGCCCTCCAGTTCCTCATGGACCCCCCGGAGGAGTTCCCGGCCCCCACGGACCTCCTGGACCCCCAGGCCCCGGTGCTCCTATGGGACCATACAACCCTCCACCATATAACCCAGGTCCTCCAGGCCCAGCACCACAGTAAGTGAAAATACCTTTTTGTATGAACTGCTTAGTTGTCTGTAGTTGTGATCAGGTGTATTTACCTAGGCTTATCATTGTCTTTCAAGTGGTCCTCCTGCGCAATACGCCCCTCAGGGCTGGGGCAACACCTATCCACATTGGCAGCAGCCAGCTCAGCCAGACCCAAGTAAGTTGTCCTGTTGGCGTTTTGCATTTTTACCTTGATTCTGTAATGTGTGCCTTTTTTAATAAGGGTAGCATCCTTTTTACACAGAATTTGGGTGTATGGTTTACATTTAAATCTTAAGGAGTTCTACATTCACATTTTGTCTAGTTTACGAGGCTAAGAAAAAATTGCATGTGCTTCATTGAGTAGCGGAATGCTCATGACGATTTTGGTTGATCGCAGCAGTGATCATAATGCTTCATTTGAATTTTCACTGCACAGTCATTGAACATGCTTCTCTGTGCTGTACATTAATAGGCATGACCTATTTCAGCCTAACAGATCCTTATTTCAGTGCAAGCTAGGGAAGAATAATTTACACAAAGGCCCCTGGAAACAATTAAAAAGGTGGTAATTGGGCACGCAAATAAAATTTCCATGGCATTTTCTAAACACTAGCTTCCTGCAATATGCGGGAAACCAAAGCCACAAAGGTTAGATTTAGTTTAATTTTGGGTTGGTTAGTAAATTCTAACCTTTTTTGGTGCCCCCCTATGTTAGTAAGTGTTAAAAGTTTTTTTGTGGTGGGGTGGAAGGGTGGGATAGTGGTGGTAATTATATGTAGGTTTGTTTCCATACAATACTCTATAAGAGTTTGATGTTTAATTTCTTAGGTAAAGCAGGAACAGACCCCAATTCTGCAGCATGGGCAGCTTATTATGCTCACTATTATCAGCAACAAGCACCCCAGCCACCTGCAGCTCCATCTGCTGGACCAGCTCCAACCCAAACTAATGGACAAGGTAGCATCTCAGTTATAATACTTAAAGGAAATCCATTCTGTGGTGGAGATCAATGGGACACGATGTGGGCAACAGTGCTGGAATTCTACATCCACCCAACTTTTTTGTGTGGTGTGGATGTAGCAGCTGTGAAAATTGTTACTATTAGGCATTTTGAGGATTGCCTTTCTTTTAGGTGGCATGTTGATTTTTGTTTTGCGCACCTTACATGCTTTGCATGCACATGTGTGTCAGTCCTTCAGCAGATGTCTTGTTACGTAACTTTTTCTTTTTTGCAAGTTTGTTTTGTAGTATTAAAGTATTCACTTATTTTGTTTTTTCTCTCCTTTTAAGTTGATGCCCCAGCTGCCCCTCAAGCTGGGCAAGTGGATTACACGAAAGCCTGGGAAGAGTATTACAAAAAAATGGGTATGTAACATGCATACTTCGCTTTTTTTGTTTTGTGCCGGTAATTAACGTAGTTGGCTACGTTCATGCTTTAAGAATGTTTGGGGCGGTGTTTTATGGCAGCTGCTTGGAAAATGGCCACATGTACTGTTGAGTTGAGAGGGCGAACACATCTTGGCAATGTATTTGGGGGTTTTTAATAGCGAGCAGGGCTAAATGCAGAGGGGAGGCCCGTGCTAGTTTAGTACAAGTACTCCCGGCGATGCCGACGAGATCAATTGAAATATGCCTCCTTCCCCGCCATGGTTTTCAGGGGGACCCAGGACCACATCAAGGTAGTTCAGGAAGCAGAGTGGTTAACGTCCTTTTTCCACTCTGCTCCGTGTAAACATTGAGTCAGAGCTACGCTCGCAGCCTTCCCCTCTCGGCTGTCATAGTAGAGCCAGCACAGTGCTGTGCTCCAACTCCTGTATTGGAGGTGACGGGTTCAATAAAGAGAACCGGTCACCTCCAAATGCTATCGCACAGGGGCGTATTAAAAAAAGGGGGAGTGTTGGCCGGTAGGGGTGCACATTGGGGAACCTGGCCTTGGGGCAGCAGAGTAAATCCGGCCCTGTCTACATATCCTGGGAAGAGTATTTTTCCCAATGTTTCCACTGTTTTGGGGCATGTTGGATACTAAATTCAGAGGCCTCTACCAGTGCACTTCTGCCATAAACTAGAGCTTTGTCATAGACACTGCATGTCTTTGTCCCTGTGTGCATTACTGGCTGCTTCCCTATACCTAAAACGGAACATGGGGGAATTGCACCCATAACTTTTCTGGCGTCGACCCCAGACACATAGATTTACATTGGGTATTTTATGCTACCTGACCATGCTGCTGGACTCTGCATTAGTTGGGCAAAGAGCTAACATCACTTTAATGCCTTTTGTGTTTTGTGCAGTAGAAAGCTTTTGAGAGTTGTATTTGAAATGTTTTTTTTTTTCTCTCTGCTTTCTTAGGTCAGCAAGCCCCACCTCAAGACTATTCAAAAGCATGGGAAGAATATTACAAAAAGCAAGGCAAGTTTATTTAGGCCTTTCAGCTAAACTTTTGTACATAGTACTACTTTTTTGAAGTTTAAAACTATTTTTCAGCAATGCAAAGTCACCTGTGATTGGACGGAGATCCTGTCATTCATCCGCCTCAATTACTGTTTACTTTGCATTGTGGGAAATAATATAACTTCCATAAATGAAGGGTAGAGGTGGAGTGGGTGAGGAGCTCAATTAAACCTCAGTCTGTAGAAAAGAAATGTTTGCCCTTGCAGTGGGGCTTCTGCACTGTAAGGGCCAGCTGCTTGTTTTGTCCAGGGGGCTCAAAGCTGATCTAATCACCTGATCTTCAGTGTTGTAGCAGTCAGCACTCACCTCTGGCTGTGGAATTTCTCTTTCATCTAATGTGGGTCAATGGCCTGCAGAAGTGATGACGACATTTAGCAGTACATAGACTGTCAGAGCCCAAAGGCGAAGAGGCTGCATAGACTGGTCTAGCAGGCTGGAGGTACAGAGGATCAGTTGAGTAATACAGCTCTAGTTTACCTCCTTTTTTTGTAGCAGACTATCTTGCGTTACTAGGAAATATTTGATGGTGACTTGGTGAAATTTCATGCAGTTGGTTATGGTTTTTCTCAGTGTCGACAATTCATTTGTTCACTCTAGGCCAAACGGTTCCAGCTGCAGGCGCAGCACCACCTGCTGGCCAGCCTGATTACAGCGCTGCCTGGGCAGAGTACTACAGACAACAAGCTGCATATTACGCACAGACGACAAGTCCCCAAACAATGCCACAGCACCCTCCTGCGCCTCAGGTAAGTCATTGAAATCAGTCCGTGTGGCTGTGGAATGAAGTTTTATTTGCCCTTGATAATTAGTGAACACTTTAAAAAGAATTCCTGTGCAACATGTGGTTTCTGTGTGATCACAACATTTTCCCTTTTCAGGGCTAATGAAACCATACAGGAAGCAGCCAACATATGTTAACCAATCTTTCCTTAGGTTCTCTCCTGAGTTGGCTTCCTTTCAAAGGAATGTCTAGTTTAACACTTTGTATGTCTTATGTATTTCCTCTGCACAGGGCCAGTAATGCGAAGTGGACAGTACAGTATTTGCTTCATTGTGTTGGGGAAAACCTTTGTTAAATGTTTGGATGCAGACGCCTTGATGAAGATCTTAATTTCTTTTGTTTTTGGTTTAAACAATGTTTTTTTTGAAAAATGTACAGAAACTATCACTACTGACTGATAGGAGGCTATATTTCTGTGTAGAAATGACAAATTGGTTTGTTTTTAGTATATTAGTGTAGATGTACACATTCCAGCAAATGTATTTGCAACTATTATGTGGTCAAAGAATGCTTTGTGATACAAATGTACTTTTTCAATGTATACTTCATCACTTTTAAAAATGCCTGTTTTGTGCTTTACAATAAATAATATGAAACCTCCTGTGTCGGTAAGTTGGATATGTGAGTATTTAAAAGGAAAATTCTTCTTTTTTTTTTTTTTTTTTTAAATGAATGGTTTAACAAGGTAATGGAAGTATTTTATAACATGAATACATTTTCTTCTCAGTTTCTCGTTATGAGAATTGTATTTTATGCTCTTGTAGGTTTGGAATTACCATTGCTGTAGTAAGCATTACGCATTTTGTTTTTCATGCATGTATATAACCTTAAAGCAGGTGTGTTTAAAAGACCACTGTTATGACCTGTAAAGCACTCTTCATACCGTTCTGTTTTTGTTTTTCATAAATTTATATATTTCCAGACTGTTTGTGTGCCGTTTGATTTTATTTTTCCAACATGGTGTAGTTATAGGAAGGAGAATAAAGTAGCCGTTTTTTAGCTATCTTTTGATTTTAGAGACCCGAGAAAGCTAAACTGGTTTTGTAGTGGACACTGCACTGACTTTAAAAAAGAACAAATCGATATAGAACTGTGGGAGCTTCCTTTGCTGACTTTGTTAAAGTTCATGCTCCTTGGTTCACTGCCTGGTGCGTAAAGGACATGAAACAAGCATTTTCACGATGGGGGTGTGCCAGGTGAAGGATGTATCTGTGTGCCACCCTTAGAGATTGCATCCCTAAAAAAGTCGGCATTGGCAGTTGCCATTTCTGTTTTCATTTGTTCTGTTTATGGAGGTTCTCCAGGAAAAACCTTTTCGCAGTCATCTTCACTAAACTGCTTTTGGGGGATACGGATTTACCAGTCACGTAGGCACAGCGACCTGCAGAAAATGTTCACATGTAGACCGCTTTAACACCCTCAATCTTATGGGCTGATTCGTCTCTCGTGGTGGTCTGCAATCTGTGATACAAAATGATTATCAATAGATGACTATTGTGATATCACCTTCAGCTCCTATGGTCAGACAGCAAGTCCATTTTTTTAAGCCCATGTCATTAAATAGAGAGCAAGGGGGATATTGGCACCCTCGAGACCCAATATGGAAGCAGTTCCACTCGTGATGGAACGATACAGCTATTGATTTCTGCATATACGGTACTACTGGTCTGTCTCCACTTGGCTTTGCAAATTAATGAAGCAGGGTCTGTGAATTAAAATATATTTTTGTGAGTTGGTGACACAGAACTTTTTCCTAGAGAACCTAGTTAAGAGGTTTCCAGGAGAAAAAGGAAGTCCTCTGTTTGTGGACCTCCCTTTACTTAGCTTCTGGGATTTACTATGACCGTGAGCTGGACTTGGAGATTTTACTGGGTATATAATTGCATAGTCGTACAAATAGTGATTTTCTTTTTTTTTATATATAGTAGATACTTTTTTTACTGGTTAAGCTTTAGTTTTAAGTACTGTAATTGGACAGACAGGTGACCTGCCATTTTTAGGGAAGGCAGAGAGGTGAGACCTTTGCTGTAAGGAGGGTTCACAAGCAAATAGGGGGTTTCCACTTTTTCCTGGAAATTCCCTTTTTAAGGGTCCCTGTCCACTGGCACTTGCTTTTGCACAGACCTGGTTGACATGACTCTGCAACTGTAAGATTTTATTTTGGTTAGCTGATAAATTAGGTATTGCATATCCTATGCATATCCTATGACTTCCTAATTTGGATGTTTATTTCAATGCAGTTGTACACAGTCTTGTGTTTTCCCAGTCAGTAAACTTTGCAGAGAATGTTCGGTCAGTCATGAACAAAGATAAGTGCCAGCATGCAAGGGCTTGGATATTTCGGTTTGTGCTTACCAGCCAGTCAGCACCCTGTGTTCACTAATAATCCAGTTGAACTAGTATGGAAAGCAGAATGTAATGCATACCATGATCCATTTGTTTGAAAAAGCATTTAATAACTATACTTTATTTGAAATGTCCTTTGTGAGTAAATGAGTAATTCAATGCTTACCCTGCATTACTTGCCAGTTCACTATCACTATTGCTTCTGTTCTATTAGATCCCAATCAAATGCAGTATTTTTCCCATTCTGTGAAGTAAGACTATGATCCAGTTATAGGAGTAGCTCTATTATTACTGTGAGAACTGTGCATCACCCTAGATACATGCACTGTAAGTACCTCAAATGATCCAATGTTGCGCAATGATCTTGCTGTGCAGTGTATTACACAATATGTTAATGTGGATTGTCGGGTAAGTATGTAGGGTTAGCTACAGGAAGTTTTTCTCTTGTCACTCTTCCAGCATTAAACATGCAGATTTTATGTTGATCTTGCAGTACAGCTCTGTTGGTGGCATACTGTGATGTTCCTACTAGATTGCTGCTTTTTTAAAATTTGTCTTTCCCATGTAGTTGAAATTTGAACATGTACATTCTAGAACTGCAATGTAAATTCAACTGGTTTTCTGATGGCTTTTGTGTTTGCTTTATGCCAGTGTTTTTTTGGTTTCTCCACTTCCTACCTGACTCAGAAATAGGCAGACAAAAATTTAATCTTTGTGCCGTTGTGTATGACGATCTGTCTTTATAAATTTGAGACTGACCTGTTCTGATAAAATTCAGGTGACATTTATGACCGTTGAAATTGGAGGCTGTCAATCTAATTCCAGGTCTTTAATATATCTATATAGTTGGAAAGAGAACTATTTAATCCTCAGTGCCTTCCCAGAGCTTCCACCTTAGGTTTTGCTGCAAAGTACCTCAGGTAAGCACAACCTAAGGAAAACATATGCATTATATCAATGATGTTGTCCCATTGAGGTTTGTGCTTGTTTATGCTGAAATCTGCTCCATTAACATGCAATTGGACTGCATATTGATGCCATTTATTAGGGAGGTGTCTTGTTTTTTATTTTTTCTCTCTAATAAGCAAATAATATGTTCCTTAGTTTGCACACAATTACTGCTTTTGTTTTCCTGAACCGTTTTATTAATGTACAAAATAAGGACCTATGTCTTTTCCTGCTAGACTTTGTCCATAAAGTTAAATGACCTTGCAATGGCAGATGTATATTCTTTGACAGGATTTCTCTTTTAAAATGATGACTGTATGCCAATGAGCAAAGTATGATCTTGTTGTGTTTATTTTTTTCTCTAAGATCATTATATTTACATTTTCAAGAAATGTACTAATTCTATAATTTAAAAGTCCTGCATATTTTGTACATTACTTTTTTTCACAAGAGTTTCAAAACCCTGCCTTCATTTTCACACACAGTGCTGAAGATGCTGCAATTGATAGCTCATAAAATCAGGTCCTGAGGTAGTTCCCACCCATAAGGAGGAATCCTTTTCTGTGTATGCCATTGGTGAGCCGATGAGCATGGACGTAGAAGGGCTCATGTAGAAGGTAACACTATAATGATGCATAATAGTGCAGATTTGTCTTTCACCACTATTGATGCTTTTTGAATTTATATTTGCCCTCTAAATTACTGTCATACAGTAGTGTTCATATCGCTGCCAATTGTGTTCCTTGTTGATAGAACTATCCGAATGAGCCTGATTTTATTTGAGAAGTGATGTTTTTTTCTTTTCTTTGTAGTTTACTAAACATGTCCAATGCTTTTTGAACTCATTTGCCCTCTACATGACTGTCATACATTAGTGTTTATATCTCTGCCAACTATAGTGATGTTCTTTGTTGATAGAACTATCCTAATGAGCCTGATTTTTATTTGAGAAGTGATGTATTTATTGCAATTAGTTGTAGGGCTGTTGTGTCCCCCATCTACATTACCAAAAATGTTTTCAATGTGTCTATACATTTTAGACTACTGTGTTACATAATACACTTCTATAGTAAACCGGGGTGGACAAATAAGGAATTCAGGAGCCAGGCAGATTTTTTCATCTCCATTGAGAGCCTCAAAGTTAGGCGCCAGCTGTAATTTGTAAGGAGCATTGGCGACCTGTCTCCTGGGATTTGTCCAGCCCTGTAGTAAACATTAGCTGGGTTTGGTTCACAATTCAAGGATTTGACATTTTCATTGTTCCACATATGTTAAAATGAATATTTGCAGTTAGTATCCTAGCCCAGGATATGGTCAATCATTGGAAAAGTGCTGCAAGCGTGGACACGGCTTGCAATTTGTACCTGGCGTTAGGCTCTCTGGCTGACCTGCACTCAAGGCTGGTACATTTTTCTTAATTCTCCTTCTGTACTGCATGACAGAGTAGTAAAGAAGTAGAAAGTTTGTAATGATATTCCAAGAACTAATACACATGGCTTTTTATCTGTTGTGGAGCTTCAAGTTGCAGTGTTCTAGAACAGCGTTAGGCAACCTCGGCACTCCAGCTGTGGTGAAACTACAAATCATGTAATGCCTCCGGGAGTTATACCCACTCAGATCAGTCTTGCAATGCCTCAGACTTTCAACACCACTGGAATGCCGAGGTTGCCTACCGCTGTTCTAGTACTTGCTGCACCTGAAGTCTTATTCCAGCTGTTTCAACATAACTTGTTTATGCCTTTTTCTTACTATTTACAAGTGGAATGTACTTCTAGATTCCTTCATAGATATTATCGGATATGAGACAAACTTTAGTTTATATACTTTTAAATGTAAAC